ATACGAAGTTATACGAATGTTGTACTCGCTGTGAATGGCTCACCCGTGTTACAAGAATCGCACGCTGACCTTGTAAAGCTCATGTCGTCTCAGTTGGAATTACGCCTTGTTCTTCTTTATCAGGTCGGTTTTCCTGCTTCTCTTTTAACAGTGTCTTGTTTTCATCCGTTTTTAATGATCCAAACATTTTCTTCATTCATCATTACCAGTTTTGTTTTGTTCTATTGTTCTGAGAGACTTTCATAGTCTTGGAGTTCGAACTTTATTTCAAGTTGATCTTGATCGTCTTTCTTGGTTATGTGAAGGCTATTTGTGTTATTCTTTCATGTCATACTTGTGACTTTTGTGCGGGTCTGTAATATTTGTGAATACCTTGAAGTGACTTTGAATTCCATGTATAGATTCTTGTCAGCATAAATATTTTAGCAAGCTTTCTTTTTTGAAGCACATGAGTATATTGCTTGAATATTTGTGATTTTGAAAATTGTTTTATTATGTAGCTTTTACTGCTCTTGGAAGGCCAATTATTTTGCAGGCCCTAACTCAGGCTCTTCCAGACTTTACTACATGATTTCTAGTCGGTGACCTACAAGCTTACGTAATTGGTATGAATAACAATCATCCCAATATATTGTAAAGCAAAAGTAATAACGAAGGCGATGGTCGTGAGTGGTTTCACCACCTAGAATTATTTTACATTAATTAGTGCGTAATCTTGAATTAATTCGAGTTCCTAATATTAATTGTCGATTTTTAGAACGAGGAGTCCGATGCTCCGCCAGCCACACCTGTTCGTGTCAATACTCAACGAACTGTGCTGTTAGCGCGAAATAGCTTGGAGGAATGTTTTGGGTTCGCTCTGCAGGTGTGTACGAATACGAACGTTTTTGCAACACATAATTTTCTAGGACCGTGTGATGAACCTTCTGGCTGTTAAAGAAAATCTTTTCCAGCTGATGATATTGCTTACTTTTTATGAAACAGTTTCATTTATTCCGAGCTTTTACTTTCATATTATTTAAAATTCATGTAAATTACAATTGCTCGGTTCGATCGATTGGAAGAAACAGGTTCGAAAAGGGCTTCTTTGCCATACCTGCCTAGAGGCCCAATTTACGGCACCGATTCTGAGGTTGTATCAGGTTTTCATAGAGTTTAATTGACCCTCATTTTCTTCAGACATACGTTTTCAAACGCGGTCCATATGGATTGAAAGAGCGGATTACTTATATTGATTATGTGCGTGATAATAGCATCGCAGCAGCCGCTGGTGTTCAAGAAGGTAAGTGGTTCTAAAATGTTCTTCTCACTTTGGTGTGTTCCCCACTGTGGTGAACAAGCTTTATTGTAAGGGTGCTGTTTTATGACTTGGTAACCATTTGGTGCCGCAATAAGTCAGAAAGCAGCGATATAAGAATCTGTTGTCGTTTTTAGTTGTTAGGTGTACGAAGTAATTTACAGGAGATGTTGTACTCGCTGTGAATGGCTCACCCGTGTTACAAGAATCGCACGCTGACCTTGTAAAGCTCATGTCGTCTCAGTTGGAATTACGCCTTGTTCTTCTTTATCAGGTCGGTTTTCCTGCTTCTCTTTTAACAGTGTCTTGTTTTCATCCGTTTTTAATGATCCAAACATTTTCTTCATTCATCATTACCAGTTTTGTTTTGTTCTATTGTTCTGAGAGACTTTCATATCTTCCGATTAGCTCATATCATCAGGATTATGCGATGATTAAAGCTCAAACTTGGATTTGGTTGCGACCTATGTTCACCCCTCGGCTTGCGCTTAGGTGTACTATGAGCTAATCATAGATAGTCTAGGGGCTTGTGAGCACTTCTAAATTACGTAGTTTGTGCAGACCTCTGAAAACGATGAAACGGTGAAAAGCTCCGTCAGAATGAGTATTCCACATTGCATCCTGGTGGTAAGAATGTTGAACGCAACTGCTGAACGTGCCGAAGTTTCAAGATGAGGACCTTCTTGATTTCCATTTCTGTTCTTTCACTTTACCCCGCTGAGCTGTGCGAACTGCTATAAAATTGGAGCTCAATTCACATTAGTAGAGCTTCTTCGGAATAAACCGCGTTCTTCCTATCAATCCTGTATCTATCCTTTTTCTTGTACCAGAATGCGGATTGGGAATCCATTTTTTTATTCGTAACATTTTTATTTAAAAAAGACTTTCTGATTCGTTCCGACGCTTGACTACCAATTTTATCATAATACACCCCCTTATCGCTTCTACAATTTTTCATATCATTTTCTCAACTTTTCATTTCGTCCCAGTTGTGCTGCATTCTAACCTAAGAGAATTCTTAAGATTGAAGTGCGAACTAGTGAAGCGACGTCTTGACATTTCTATAGGTAGATCATGGATCACTCCATAATTCTTTAGTCACTTGATCTTCGATTAATCTGACAAAAAGTTTGATTGAAAATTCGTTTTCAATATAATCGTCATTAATAGTGAATCGTTAAGGATATCTCAAGGAATTCTTGCCCTGTCAGTGAGGTCTCTCCAGTTGCAATATATTCTTGCCGAAAAGTATATTCTGCTAGAGCAGCTGGAAATGAAGGAATCTTCCATTATTGCATGGTGAGATTCGGAGGTTTTTCGATGTCTTTTTCCGTTTTCTTTTTACCTTCTGTAGTCGTTCTCATGTTCATTTTAGGATCGGAAGGTTCTTTATCAACTGCTGCTCGCAGAGCTCGGTGGCTATCCGTTTGCCAAGACATTTCAAAATCTTTGAATCTTTACCGCAAGCTGCTGAACAAGGACTCCAAACCGGAGTTCTATCGTTTATGTCCTGCTGGCCCTTCATCTACCTGTTGTGACGTCCCCGCGAGCTATCAAAGTATTCAACAAAATGGCAAGGATACACAGGTGACAAGACTGTGATTTGTTCTAAAACGGCCTTGAGCAGTTTTTACTTAATCCTTTAACGTTTCTGTTTTTTTATAGAACTTAAATAACATCTGCAGATGACTATTCAACATTTATTAGGGTTAGATTAAGAAATAATAATATTCGTGGTTCTCTCTGTATGTGTGAAATTTATTGCACATATCATTTTTCATTTTTTTTTGAAACGAGTCTGGTTAGGTGCCCAGTACGGTAAGCTTTCATTCGATTGATACGATTCTTGTACATGCAGGTGAGTGTAGATATAGAAATACTTTTATTCGCTAGTTTTCCACTTTGTTAACAGTATTTTTGACTTCGTGATTCTTAGCCATCCAGGTGCTCACATTCCCCGTTACTCATGATTACTTTTTAGATTTTGTAAATTTTATATATCATAGCAACTTTTAATAACCTTTTCGTTTCCCGGTAACTGTAGCCAGTGCGTAATATGAATTTTGTGATATAGAGATAACCAGTTGCTCTAGATTTCTATATTGTGTAGACAGAGTGGTTGGAATTCGTTGTACTCTGAAGTTTTGAATACGGTTCCATCTGTGTAGTACTACTTGTGATAAAAGTTGTGATAAATTCCTGTCTGTACGCATTTGTCCACGTTCGCATCGTGCAATACCACTACATTCCGTTATCTCGTTTTTCCTAAAGACAATGGTTTTGTTCAGCGTTTACCTCAAAAGATATCAACGATGCTGATACCACGCCATGCAGCGCTAATGCTATTCAGGCAGTCAAAAGTTCTAGTATGTGCAGATCCTGTAATGTTACCTTCCTGCAATGTTACGCGTTCGGGAGCCTATTCTTGCTTGCGGTAAGTTTTCTGTAAAATTTCAATGTTTTATCGCAGTCGAAGACTACTCGAAACACTTGCAGGATGACATCATCTGGGCCTCCTCCAGCAAGCCCATCAAAACCAGGATCTTTCTCAGCACGTTATGAAGCTTTTATTTCACGTTGGCCAACGATTCATGGATTACACAGGATGGTGGTAGATGGTTCAGTGTTGACAGAACTCAACAATCTTCAGATATTTCGATTACTTTCCTTTGTACATAGGTTCTCGCTGGTGTTTCTCGGACATAAAAACGTACATACGACTGAAGCGTGAGCTATCCTCAGACGCGAGAACCTTAGAGAACCTAAGCATGCCCGAATTGGAGGTGCTCGTGCAGGTGCGTATTAGTAATATAATAGATCGCCATATAATTGTTTCAAAGTTTTATAAGCGTAGATGAGTGAGGAAGATCTTGATTGGAACGTAAATTGTTTTGTGAAAGAAAAATCTATTCCAAGAAAACTTCTGGTGAACGTATGACTTGATATTGCCGTTTTTGTGGCTTCCACGACCCGTGTGACCTACGTAGCAGATGTGCTGTTCAGTTCCAGCTGTTTTTTGCCATACTGTCTTCGAACTATTTTTTGTGAGAAAATAATTGAAAACGGCAAGATCACGTGCAAGATAATCTGTTATTTAATTCTACTGTGACTTTTTGTCGTCAGTCTGCTTGTAGTGATGATTATATGCTTCATTTTAAGTTTTCCTAATGTTTTCAAATCTGCACAGCTAACACTACCTTTCTGTGTTTTGAATTTTCTGCAGCCTATGTCATGAAATAGTCTTAGAGTGGAGGCGAACTGGCGAAAATGATCGCGTTGGTCGTCGTGCTCCAAATCCCTGGCCCGGGTGACATCCTCATTTTATTGCTGTGAGTTAGCCCTGTGTTGTACAGCTACCGAATTTCGGCCTGTTGCTGCATGACTTTGCAAGTGTTGTTGTACTCATTATTAATCCTGAAAGTATTGCTCTTTCGCTGGAGAATGGCTCAGTTTGCTCTCCATGTCATGTCACATGCTACACTGAAGTTTTTTTTTCGTTTCTTTCTTTTCAAAAATGGAAACGCGTTCTTACTGAGATAGACTTCCTAACGTAGTTAGAACAACATTGCTTAAAAGCTACGAGAAAGAGGTAAGACCTGAAGCAGTTTCTTCACAGGCATTTGGTGGTCGGTATCGTGGGTAGTAGTTTCAGATGCCCACCGAACTACCAAGGGTTGCGGTATGTGCTGTGCTCCTGCCTTTGCCTTTTGGATTTTATGTGATTGCCTTCGCTATGTACGTATCAAACTTACTTAATGTTGTGTTCATGCGATCGTTTGATTATTCAATCTTTTGTAGATGTATTGTTAGAGAGGGTTAAAGTCGCTGCATTGTTGCATATTACTGCAATCACTTTAGCAGTTTATTTTTTGTTAACATCTCATTTTTCTTCTCCCTCTTGTGAACTCCTTTCTATGGTTGTGGTTGTTTGCCCACAATTTGGTTATGTGACTGTATATTTCTTTACAGTATTCTCTTCCCTCGTTTCATCTTAACCCGTCATTTCTGGAGTGATCGTCAACGGACGAAATTTTTCCAGATGGACATTGAACATTCTCTAGCGAATACTTCGCTTCGCAAAATCATAGGAAATGTGAGTTTCTTATAAGGAGGGTTTTCAAGGAAAACTCCGAAATGTGAACTTCCACTGTTTTCTTTCAGCCATCATCTGTGGAGCAAGTACGGTTGCCTAATCTAAATCAACTGAGTTTCGAGGCACTGGTGAGTAAACAATAAATCCTGAGAGTATTTTCATATTTTCCGCTAAAACTTTCCGAAGCTGACGTTCTGTAAAATCAAGGCTGCGGCATACTTCGTGACCGTCCTGCAGTTCGAGTGTGAAGTATACGTATCGATCGTACGATTGCATTATCGATACATATATACTCTACACTCGAACAGCAAACGAATTGCAAGACAGTCGCAAAGTATGACCGAACCCTAACAGCTTTCTCATCTATTCTAATATTCTCGGATCAGTTTAATTTTTGTCCGTGTGATTGCTACCACTCTTTTTTGACTTGCTTGGTTCTAATATTTTTGAGGTTTTACAGCAATTTTTAATTTCCTGTGAATCAAGCCGATGAGAGCAGACATATAAATGAAGTATCAGTGGACACTCATTCATTTTAATACATGCATGTTAATTCTACGGCATAATTTGCGCATAGAAAGCTAGGCTCTGAACTAGAAATTGTGGGTAGGACGATGATAACTGAAGTATAGGCTTGTTGAAAAATGATATAATATTCATAAAATATACGGCAAAAGGGCGGAAGTGGTGTAGTGGCAAGTGGCACGCTTACCACGCGAGCGGTCCGGGGATCAAATCCTGGGTCGTGAGTCGCCCGGGCCAACCAAGCCTTCCATCCCTCCGGGGTCGGTTAATTGGTACCAGACTTGTCTGGGAGGATAAAAACACTGACTTGTACATCGGCTGGCCCCGCAAGTCATTGTACACTGCGTTCAATAATGATACAGCCACCTACAATTTGTTCGAAAAATTCAAAGTTTATAGAGTTTCTGAAAAACTGTCCAGATAGAAAATGTGACAAATTTCATGGCGAGTTCAGATATCAACACAAAAATCCATGTCGAAAACACTAAAAAATTTTGTGCTTATTTTTTCAGAAAGGTCGATTTTCCTATGTTCAAAAATGATACAGCCACCCCGTGTTTCTTCGTTGAAATTCATTTCTGCTTCATGAAACTGATTCGCAGTTATCAGGCTTTCACCTTAATGTTCCCACAAAAGAAAAAAAGGCAGTTGGACTTTGAAAAAGGGTAAATTGTAGCAAAAAATAAACAGGAGTCGTTATGCAGTCATATTTACACGCGACCTGAAACTAATCTACGTGCTAAAAGCTTCACGTATAGAGCTGGTAGTGATTATATAAACATTGCAAAGAACATACCGGTTACTCTGTCACAAGCTCAGTTCAAGCATCGTATAGTCACAATACTGAGGAACCAAGAGTCATAGTTTTGTGAGACTGATTCCGAAGTTACCTGTTTTAGTATTTGAGTTTTTTGTTTATAAGCACACTGTTCTTTGTATAGAGATGCTCATTTTCTTTTTCACGTGTGCCTTTTGCAGACGTAATAAACTTATACTTATACTGCGCCAGAATTGAGTCAAAGCTCCAATACGGTTAACAATCTTTTCTGGAATCCTGTAGGTTATGGAACAAAGAAGAGCTCTGGATGTTCATCATTGCTTTTTGGTCAAGTTAAACTTCGCATTTTGGGGAAACATTTCAATTTCATCGAACAGTGCCCAGAATTTCACTCTTCTTTCAAATCCAATTGAAGATCTTCCTAAGTCAATCTTCAGTGGAAGAAGCAAAGAAACCTTGTTTGTGAAAAGAAATTCTCTCGAAAACTGAGACATTTTTTTGCTCGAAAGTGTAGCCACGTCCACTGGAGCAAGATCAGTTCTTTTGTCTGTTGTGTCTTACTTTCTGTTTACTTTCTTTCGAGTTTTTCCTTCCTCATTAAGGGTTTTCCTTTCATTAGACTCCTATGAAGCGAAAAACATTGAGAGAAACGCAGACAGAAATAACAGACAAAAGAACTGATCTTGCTCCAGTGGACGTGGCTACACTTTCGAGCAAAAAATGTCTCAGTTTTCGAGAGAATTTCTTTTCACAAACAAGGTTTCTTTAATTCTCCATTGAAGAATGACCTCGGAAGATCTTCAACACATCCCAAACAATATCCATTGAAAGTTTAATTTTGAAAGAAGACTGGAATTCCGGGCACTGTTCGATGAAATTGAAATGTTTCCCCAAAATGCGAAGTTTAACTTGACCAAAAAGCAATGATGAACATCCAGAGCTCTTTTGTTCCATAACCTACAGGATTCCAGAAAAGATTGTTAACCGTATTGGAGCTTTGACTCAATTTTGCGCAATATGACTGCTTGACGATTCCTGGTTTTTTTGCTACAGTTTACCTTTTTTCAAAACTAAACTGTCTTTTTTATCTTGTGGGAACATTAAGGTGAAAGCCTGATAACTGCGAATCAGTTTCATGAAGCAAAAATGAATTTCAACGAAGAAACACGGGGTGGCTGTATCATTTTTGAACATAGGAAAATCGACCTCTTCTGAAAAAATAAGCACAAAATTTTTTAGTGTTTTCGACATGGATTTTTGTGTTGATATCTGAACTCGCCATGAAATTTGTCACATTTTCTATCTGGACAGTTTTTCAGAAACTCTAAAACTTTGGTTTTCGAACAAATTGTAGGTGGCTGTATCATTATTGAACGCAGTGTATAGGCCACATCGCATTCAAACGCCACTACGAATGTACAAATGGAAGTAGAATGCGTGCCGCATCCCAAAAAGGGATTGATCAACGGCAAATGCTTTATCCTTTATCCTTTATAAAGAAGTGCCTGTAAGTTGTTTCTCAGCTCTAAGGGGCATCAACGAAGGACAGAATAGTCCAAACCCTGATGTGCATAAAAAGCGAACGGGAGCTGGTTTCCGACGCATTAGCGTAGTCTTGGATACGGACATAGTCTTTGAGCGCTAATGGAAAGTAGTGAAAAAAAGTAAAAGGAACTGCATAAGTATGTAAACACTCTGTTGAGTTGGTTTCTGTTGGTAGGGATTTTTCACTGGAGGAGCGACTAAGGTCGAGACTGTGTTGCGATGTTAGAACTCATTGATGATATACCGTCTTTTGGTATTATACCACTAAGTATAAGGGATTACCCCTTCTATTTTTCCAATCTTCAACAAAGAAAAAGCTGCTCTGAGAAAATTATTCATGTGGTCTATTTCTTTTGGTCAGAAACTAGATATAGCGTGGATGAATTGGTAGCTTGTGGACTGCGCGTATTTTGTCTCTCAACTCTCGACACGCTTTTTCAATTTTGCATTTTCTTTCCCTCTTTATTTCTATTTGAACTTCTTAATCTTAGTTTTGAATTTCACACAAAGAGCTACATTTTGAGATTATCTATTTACGAATCTCTCCCTCCTCTCCGTATGTGGTAATGCGTTCCCATGTTATAGAGACCACGTGCTAATAACACTGACAATGCAATTGAAAGAGTTTAGCTTGCAAGCATATAATATCAAAATACATTAGGAGAGTTTGATTCACTTGAAGTAAATGTGATTAATTCCTTTCACTAATCTATATATTGGTCTGAGTCCTATTTGGATTCGCACTTCTCTGCTCTTGATAGACGGCATTCTCAATGCTCTGGGACGACATTTCCTTGTCAATCCTTTTCGCTTGAATTAATTGCTCCCCATTATCTGATATATGTATCCCCATTTTGTCATCATTGCACCGTTCTCCAGGGGTTAGCCCGATTTCTTAGGGAATTTGCAATTTGAACATTCCATTCTCCAAGCATATCGCAATCTCCCTTTCCGGACCGCTTCAGGCCAAATATTTAAATTTATCCGCTCTATAGTAGGAAAATATTCATTCACTATTTCTTTGTGTTTCACAACAAAAGAGCTAAAACTTCCTCGAAAAAATTCCCACAACTCTCAATTTCATTGGCTCTGTGCAGTCTGAGTTTTGGGAAAATTTTGGCTTCATCAAATAAATGTGTTCAGGTGCAATGACGTATATATTTTTGCTGAACTCATGTTGCACTTTTAGATAGCGTTATCATCGCTGCATTCCATATATCCGCTGCCGGGCGTGAGGCGTCGATTTACGCTGCGATGTAAAGCAATGCGTCAGTTGGACAAGATTTTGGAAAGCAACTTGAAGTCTCTCACCGAGCGGCAGTTACAATTTGTACGTTGTTTTGCATATTTTTTTAGCGTCGTTATTCTCTTTAAGCTCGTAAAAGCTAATTTCTTCTCAGTCATCTCTACATAAGCGTAATAAACAGTTAAGACCGCTGATGCCCTCTGAATGATAACTTTGCGGTCAGGCCTCAATACTGGATAGATCCGTATGTTTGGTTCTTATCCAGCTCTCTTGAAGGATAGACGAAATTTTGTCTCTGTTGTCAGCGAGCCACCTGGACGATATGGCGTATCTTTGCGCGCCTATTTTCTTCAACGAAAAGAGGCTTCGGAACTAGTACATTGAGAGTGCGGCTAGATCTTAGCAATAATTGATATTTTGATTATTCTTTCAATGAATCTCTTTTATCATTTCTCAGTAATACCCTGCCCTTTCTAAAGCGGCGCCAACTCTTAGAATGATTGCATTATATGTTCATCAGTGGTGTCAATAGGGTTATAAATTGTTGTTTAATCGGTTGTTTTGCTTTTGAGAATTAGCGGTAACTCGAATACCTTTGAATTTTTGAACCTGATCATAATGGCTCATATCCATTTTGTGGTAAAAATTACTAACAGGAATCTCCTGCTCAGAATCTGCTTCATTTATGCGTTTTTGGCCGAGGACTGCCGACCTTGGATTAGCATGGTGAGTTTTTTTTGGTCTTTTTTTATTTATTTACTTCAGAAAATGTGCCGTTATTGAAAAAATAGTTCTGCTGAAGGATGTGTAGTTGGAATGATATCGCTCAACGAGTGTATGCTGAGGTCCCAGATACATTGCCCCAACCCCTCCCCCCCACGCATCCCCTCGTCCCCACGCGTGTCCCAACTCACGCCCCTCCCACCGCTATCCCCACCTCCTACCCGCCGCTCCTGGACCCCCTAACTTCGCCCGCGATCAGAAACACTCCCCACACTTCCAATCACTAACCCCACAGCCTCACTACATCCAAGCTCACCCCACCCGCCCGCCACACGCTTTCGCACTCACCCCCCCAAAACCCCCCCCCCACCAAACCGCCAACCAACCAAATGAGCCACCTCTATTCCAACTACACGTAGAACTAACACAATGATGCTACCGCCTCCCCCTAAATCAGGAAAATTGAGACGTCGCAAGATACCGACGCCGCAAATTTTTACTTCACTAATCTACCCCCACCCCCACCCCACCCCCCCCACCCCCCCCCACCACCCCTCTGGTTTACAACTCACGTAAAAACATCCCTTTTCGTTAGAAAGGAGGATGGAGTGACTCTTTGTATCTGAGGAATTGGCCAATGTTTTTTTGCCTTCGCCTGTACTTGCTCTCCCTGCCTATTCCAGTACTCCTCCCCTCCCCTCGCCGTCATGTATGCATAGCGCCGGAATTGAAAAGCAAGGCTAATTACATAATATTACTATGTCCAGTTTCACAAGAATACTGGGTTGTGAACAAAACTTTCGCCCAGGCGGGACTAGAACCCGCACCTCTCGCTTTCGCGAGCGAGAGGTGCGGGTTCTAGTCCTGGGGCGAAAGTTTTGTTCACAACCCAGCGTTCTTGTGAAACATTCGCAACGCGAACTGCGGCGGTAAAACAGCAGTTAACAAACAAAACAAGTCGAACACTATGTTCCTAGTTAGGTCTGAATCGTGTCATTCGTCAAATATTTTCTGCCTTCCTTCCGTTACTTTTCACCTGTTAATAACAGGGTAATTTCCAATTCATCCAGCATTCAACCTTGACATGCAGGTTGACCATGCAGCTCTTACGGGGAGAAGAGTTACCTTACTAGACTGGAAGCAACCGTCACGCCGCTATTCGCGCCCACTTATTCCGACTCAGACTGTTCCAGCATACTCAGCGCTATTGTGCCTGCCTCTTTTCCAATTTTCAGTACTCGTTATGCTGGTTCCTTTCAAATTCTAACCTCCAATGACATTATCTATATAAGATATAGTAACGTTGGCAAGAAGTTCTGCGATCACCTTTCTAACTCTTTTTTTCTGAAAAATTTATAGGTAACATTTATGACTAACAAATGGTAGAACATTCTCGTGGCTTTAATCCACGATGTGGATATATGTGCTGCAGTCAATAGTTAACCAAGAAAATTCAAAAAACCCCGACCACTACTTAATCCCGTCATCTTCCGAGTCTGTATAGTAAATCTCCATGACTGTGATTTGTGTCATAGACCAGCACATCTGCAATCGGCTTCAATAGTGGCTTCGTGCACCGTACCGCGTGTTCAGCTTTGTCCGCGCTTTCGATTTTGATTTTCCGCAAACAAACTAAGAGCAGCAGCGTTCTACACACTCCATTACAGAAAGGGAGCTCCATTTACAAATTCTTCGTTATGGGCACCATTGTGTAGGTAGAGGTCTAGGCTGCGGAACTCCAGAAGCTGGCCGAGGCAGCTCGTCAGGAGCCCTCGTACCGCGACAATATTTATTTCTTTCATGACATTGCGAATCACCATGATCCGAAATGAGCCCGGTAAGAAATTCTGGAGCTGCGGCAAGATTTCTTACCTCTCTTAGCGTTTCTCGACCCACACTGTCGCTGGTTTGGCAAAAGAGCATCAAGAAATTTTTTGAGCGTTGAAGACAAGTGGAGGACACTCATGGTAGATACAAGACCGGTCAGGAGTTGTAAACAAAAAAGATAAAATTAAAAACAAAAATTTGAAAGAGTGTCGCAGAACTTTCTTGCCAACCTAATATATTTCTCTCACAATAGTGTCAGTAACTATGACCAGAATGACTTTTCTCTTCTCCGACATTGTATCCTTGCAGGTTTGAGGAAGTGGTCGGTGGTGAACTGATTAGCGTGGGATTGTTCGATGATAAACAATTGGTGGCGATGATGGTTGCAGAAATGAAAACAATTTTACATTGTAATCCTGAGGTACGTGTAGTGGCTGGCTGTTCTTTTCACTTTCGCGTTATTTTTGCGAAGTGTCTTGTGTAACACACTTTCCGACCCCTGTTCAAGGTCAGCCTTTGGGTTGAGTGAATTTTGGAATAAACACGTCCCGTTCTCTTATCTGGAGTGGATCTTCGTGTGACTTTCGTCCAGTGTCCTACCTACAGTGCTAATTACCACCAGTCAAAAATATCACAAATGCTCACTTCTTCGTTGAAAGGTCTGGGTTAGCACTGATCCGCTCCGTGGCCACAATTCTGCCTTAAACATATATTCAGAGTCGCCAAGGGCAAAAGATGTCACCGAATCTCTTGATTTTTCCCGAAGTATTTATTGCACTCTGCACGACCAAGTCTCCCTTGACTTACCAGCCTTCTATGCGATGTGATGCCTCATTTATGATGCTAATTCCACCAAACTTCCAAAAATATCACGAATGCTTACCTCTTCGCAGTCGAATATTTTTTGATTTGTGAATCTATTTGAAAAACTGAGTTTACAATTTAATAACCAGACAAGAACAATCCTTCGGTTTTCACTCTCTGACAACGGGTGCGCTAAAAATACACTGGTGTGCAAAACTTAAGGACGAGACAGATGAAGTATCATAACCTTTTGATAGCTTTGTGGACCGTTTAACGGTTCCTGTTAACTGCTTTCTTTAGTGCCCTGTGCAGCTCTTTGTATGTGTGGTTAGGTTCCATAGAGTCATGTTACGCGCCAGTAACACGTCGTTGGAAAAGCTACGTTCGTCCCTAAGTTTTGCACACCAGTGTATTTTCACACCTACTAGTGAATCAAACGCTCAATCCTTTTGAGCAGGATTTGATCTTCTAAAGTGTGCAATTTTTAAGCGGCGCCCATTATCCACTGCTTCCTCAAGGAGGCACTTTGTGCGTTATATCCAACCCATCCATGTGATCTGTTATAGGATCGCGATATAGTAGCGGATAGTGGCGCTCATGTGGTTTATATGTTGAGTTTGGCTGTGTCTCATGCGTATCGAAGATTAGGTCTTGCATCAAGACTTCTTAGACATTTATTGGATTCGGTGAGTCTAACAGATCAGCTCTGGTTGAAATGTGTCCTTTTTCTCGGAAATTCCTTTTGTTTTCAGGTTGTGGACAATTCTCCATATCCGAAGGCTGTGTTTTTACATGTCTTATCGACAAATTTACCAGCGATCAGATTTTACAAATCGCATGGATTTGTTCATCACACTACCTTGTTGTGAGTTTATATTCCATTTTTTGATTATTTTTTGTTGTTATCTTAATGAAAATGTAGTGGTAGTGATAATCCGATTATT